TCCCACCACCCAGCCACCCTTCTTCCTTCCCCTTCCCCACCCCCTCCCCATATTCTTGGGCTAGAATTAAGTTGTTTCCTTCATTTGAGAAGTATATATTAGTTTCATAGAAGGGCTGTGTACATTGGATACTTTTTCTTCCATTCCTGTGACACTTTGCTAAGAAGAACTTTTCATGACAAATTTGTTATAAGCTACATTTGCTTTAGACGCTTTCTTGAACCTTTGTCATTTTAGTGCACCTTAAACTCCTTAATACACAATTCTCCACCTCCTCCAAATGTCTCAGGAGGCTGCTCTCTCCCAGATAACAACACATACATACTTTGTCCCAGTGGGCATGAAAAAATAAACATGAGATAGACACAACATATTGGCTTTCAGAAGACAGAGCAACAGGACATGTGATGCAGTCTCCTCCAACGGGTGTGTAGAGATAGATGTTTCTAGACCCGCAGTCACAGGTAGAACATTCTTCTAATTTTTTGTAAGAAGAAATTCACTGTCCCTACTTACCTCAAAGATGAAAAGCCCTTGCCTCCAGCCCAGCCTGGCAGATTCTTAAAGAAAAGAATGAACAGAAGAGGAAGTGCATCTCTGCTTATCATGAGGTCCCATTTCTCAAGAAGTCTTGTGGGTAGATGAGCAGGCTGAGTTGTTGGTCAGGGAGTATGCATACTTGTCCAAGGCAGTTCTGTTCACATTATAGTATTTTAAATTGTGCACTACCAGGATCAGCTGTATGGAAGTGCCTTGGAAAATGAACTTGGAAATGGTGATGGTTTTCATGATGGGGAAAACCAAATAATAGACAGTGGATTCAACTCCAGTTGATGCCATGGAAATGGGTCTAACTTTGAAAAGGCACTTGAATTTTCATTACCAGAGTTGAAAGCCAAAGTGTGGGAGGGAGAGGTCAGCATATCTCTGTATCACCCTGTTTTCCATTCCAGAATCACTTCTCAGTTAACCTTTGTGGGAAAAGACTTATCCATATTCTTGGTCCTTAGGATAAGGACCCCCCAAAATGAGCACACAGATCTACATGGCTGGGAAAAACTCTTGATTTTATTAGAACAGTGTTCTGAAATATTTATCTCATTTGGATTGGAAGACTCTTGGTAAGATCCAGCATGAATATGACAAATACTCTCTAGTTTGTCAAGTCGAAATACACATCTGGTGATTTACTTCCTGTCTTTACTTACTACATTTATGAAACTTGATCTTATACCTTCATTTTTCTTCTCATTTATTTTAATAAATCAATAAGAGCAAATGCAATAAAGTAATCAAATAATCACCTAGTTGTGGCTGTAAAGGTAGGCTGGCAGTCAGCTTCTCATGGCTTACTCAAAATGTTTGCTGCATCATCTTTGAAATGAAGGGAAGAGCTCAAATCTGTCATTGTCAACTATACTAAAATAAAAATTGTCTGAATGTAAAGCACATGCCTGAAACCTGAGCAGTCTCTGAAATTCTGAGCCTCCTGTGTACTCACAGCACAGTTCTGCATGTGACAGGTTGTCTGCAGAAACAAATCAAGAATCCCCACTTCTGAGTGGAGTCTCTCTTCCACACTGACTCTAAGGTTGGCCATGGGACCAGATTAGCCAAAAAAATAACTAAAAGGATGCAAAGAAAATTCTCACCTGCTGGAGAAAAGGGGACCAAGTAGACAATATAGATGAGAATCAAGACTCATTAGCCAACACTCTGTCAGTCTAATTGACAACCTACCAATCAACAGATGGGGGCATGAAGCCATGATGGATCATTCAACCAGCTGACCCACCATGAGGGTGGGTCCACAGACACATGAGAGAGATGAGCCAGCCAGCCCAGATCATAAGCGACATCTATCTATTCCAGAAAATCATAAAGTAAATGAAATAGCTGTTACATTAAACAAAAATTTTACAAAATGCTCAGATGCAATAGCCCACACCTAGCACTCTGGAGGGTTGAGGAGGGAGGGAGAAATTCTGGAGGTCAGGAATTTGAAACTAGCCTGAGAAAAAGATCCACTCTCTATAAAAATTAGCTTGGCCTAGTGGTACACAGCTGTAGTCCCAGCTACTCAGGAGGCTGAGATAGGACAATGGCTTCAGCTCAGAAAGTCAACATTGCATTGAGTTATGATGACCATTGCAAGCTAGCATGGGGTAACAGAGTGACTCTGAATCTCAAAATATATACACTTTAAAATTTGTGGGGGAGATGATTTGTTACACAGCCGAAGCTAACTGATGAACTTCCCAAAGTAGACTGGAAAGAGCTCTTTGCACACTTGTTGTTGAGTATGTTACTAAGTGACTTCACTTCCCAACCACAGCTGATTGGGACATGGATTTGTTTCTACAGCAACTAACAACCGAGGTGATGGCTGAGAACAGTGTGCCTTAGAACAGTGTGTTGGTCATTGACCAATCCATTTAGCTGTGTCTTTCTTGGGGAGTTTGAATGCAGAGTCCCGGAGAGGTACACAGACAAACACTAGAGTGACCCATAAGTCAATAAATAAATTAAGAAATAACAGAAGCAGGAGTCATACAGGAGACCTGATGATAATCTACCTCTCAAAGCTCCACTTTGGGTATCTCACCTGGCCTTGGCAGAGAATCAAGCTGTCACCATCACAGAGCCCCAGTCCATTTCACAGAACAAAGAAGCAACCCCACAGTCTAGGAACAGTTTCACAGGGTGTGGTTACCTCTCAAATGTCAAAAAACTTGCAATAATTCATTTTAGGCAATTGTGAAACATATCTGCTCTCCACCCTTCTGCATCCTGCTGTGTGCACTGGAGGTTGCCCTGTGTGTTCTGCCTCATCACATCCTATGTTCTCTGCCCAGATGCTGAGTCTCATTAGTGGTATCCCTGGAAAGAGAGAGGAGTGCTGGATGAGTGAGTGGTGGAGGTGCTGCTTCCCCAGCTCCTACTGCCCTGTAGGGCTACTCATTTGGTCTGTGGCTGGATTCCTCTGCTGCAGGCTAAATTCCCTGCCAGGTTCCTGTAACTGCTTTCTGTCTTCACCTTTCCAAGACAAGGTGTGGTGAGAGCTCCCCCCACATTGCTAGTCCCAGGGTGTCCCACCTTCCTGTGTTGAGTGGGATTAGCTCTGCCCACCTCTAAATAAACAATCTTTTCATTAAACCCTCCTAATTTAACCCATTTGACTGGGGCAGATGCTTCTCCTCAGGTCACCAACTAATGCTCTAGCATTAAACCAACTCTACTTGTTCTAACCAGAAGACAAACGTTTATTTTTAAATCAACTGTCCTGAAGGAGGAAACCACATTTTAAGAAAAGAAGGAAACACCATTCTTTTACCAGCACACAAACCCAAAGCACAAAACACCACTTCCTCCTTTGTCATTTCAAAAGAATTGTTTCTCAGTAAATGCCTTGAAGTAGTGATATTCAGTACTTGTAGTGGTGGGAAACATGGTGCAGGTGTTGTACTGGTAGGAGAGAGAAAGCACTGTGTCTGTGCCTGTCAGAACACTGCACAGACCAGGCGTCAAATGATCCTATTCAGTGACTCCTGCAAATATTCTTTCTTGCTTGGCTCCCTGGACACCAATGGGATCTTGCCCTTAGATCAATTCATCTTCTTTGTTTCCTGTCAGGACTCATGGCCCTCGAACTCAGACCTGGTTTAAAAGCTGACTGGGAAATGGATGCTGAGAAAAAATAATTTAGGCCACTTTAAAACAGAGTCTGAGAATGCCTGGAGAAGGCACACATTATCTCAGGCTGAGCAGCAGATTGGGATGATGCAGCAATTCTCTGGCTTCTTCAGAAGGCTTTTATTGACGTGTAGCAAAAGTCCATCTGCAAAATGCAAAAATACCAAAAGATAGGGTTAAAAGAATCCCAAGTCCCCACGAAAACTGGATAGAGAGAGAAGCTGAATAAAAGTTATGGGGGTGTTAACACAACAGCCTATAGTGTACTTAGAAAGGTGGAGGGGAACTACTTCTATCCCTGCAGGGGAAGTAAGCCAGGGTTCCTAATCTAACTATGTATCAAAAGTTCAAAGGATTTACCACCTTCCCCACCCCTGTTGACTCTGGGCATACAGGGCTAGTCAACCGGTCCTG